GATGGCTCCCGCCGCTCCCGCTCCCATTTCCGTCGCCGACGATGAAATCCATCTTCATCCAATAAATATTCCGTCGATAGCCGGAGCAGTAAACGAAAACGTCCTTCTTTCTCTCACACGGTCTCTTTCACACTCACCCAACCAAAAACCCGTCACTGGACCATCACAGCATTTTCGCCATTAACGCAGCCCACACAAAAACAAAAAACAAAAAGTTGCAAACTTTATCAGAGGGGAATGAGAGAGAGAGAGAGAGTTCAAAAGAAGGGGAGAAAACGAAACGGAAGAGAATCTGAGAGAAGATGCGGGCAATGATTTCGGGAGGAGAAAGGGTTCGTTTTTGGGAAAGATTTGAGACAGAAGAATTTCCGGGTTTTCGCCACAGAAGCATTTGACAAACACAAAACCCCAAATTCAAGAAAAAAAAAGGGGCAAAAATCGATCCTTGGCCGTAATTATTTCCTTTCGTTCTACAGAGCGACGCTAGAGAGAGAGAGAGAGAGAGCAGAGGTATCTCTGTTTGTCTACCTCTGAGCTTTCTCTTCAATCTTCACCTAAGCCGCCGTTAGTGCTCCCTTCCTCTCCTTCACATTCATTACAGATTCCAAATCTCTCTCTTTCTCTCTCCCTTCCCGTCTCCTTGAGAAATTGCGTAACTGATAGGTTTTAATGGCGTTAGACAGAGCCAATTAGAGAGAGAGAGGTTTTAAATTCTCCGACTCCCTCCATTACTGCTAAGTACTCTCACCATACTCGAGGGAGAGAGAGAGAGACGAACCAACCTTCCTTTCTCTTTGTCTCTCTCTACAACTAACTCGCACAGTCTAAGAGAGAGAGAAACAGAGAGTGAACGACAATGGAAGAGGGAGATCGAAGAGAGAGATGAATATATAATATATACATACATAAATCTGGGAATTTAAGAGATGGGTCCGTCGCCGGCGACCTGAAAGTCGCCGGAGATTGGATAAAGCCGGCGACTTTTGGTGTTGCTCCGGCGACGTATACTGACAAAAAATAACTTTTTCTTTGAGTTCGCTGAGTCGCTGACCTCGTCTTATTTTCTTCGCTTTTTAGGCTTTATTTATTTCGTTGCAAATCTTTTTTTATTTATTTATAATTTGTCCAATTTAATAAACTCTAGAATGGGATTGGGAAATGACAGAAGTTATTGTAATTCTGATATTAAAAGACCAACTAATCATCGTTTGGTTGACATTGACGGTTGATAAATCGGAAAATATTTGTTTGAGCGTTTAAAATATAAAATAAATAATAATTTGTTAACAGAAAATAAAAATAAAAATAAAAATTTGATTTCTGAAAAAGGAAAATCATGTTATACCGATTTTTGCATATGACCATATATATCCATCTCCTATATAGCAAAATCAAAGATTATCTAACACTTCATCAAATCTATCACTAATTAAATAGCCTGTAATCTCCACCCATATAATAATTACTGTTAATAGATCTTTTACTAATCTTCACCCATTTAATAATTAATGTTAATAGATCTTTTTCTCATCCTTTGCATTTATGAGTTCCAATTAGAATCTTTTTAATTGGAAATTTTTATCCTACAAGATTTGATTTAGTTTTGATTTATATTTACATTTAGCTTTACCTTTTTCTATATTTCGTTTTCAATTAATTCGGTTTAAAACTATAACTACTAAAATTTTTAAATTAAATTTTTTCAGTTCGATTATATTCAGTTTTTTATATTCAAAATTTTCAAATTTAAAGTACAATCTTATTTTCTGCAAAATGAACTATGATCAACACAAAAATAAATTATATGTTTTATATTATTAATTACCAAAATAAATGGGAGACCAACTTTTCTTCCATGGGCTGTTTCCCACTCGGACATTCGGAAACTCAAAAGTCAAAGCTCTCTAACCGATTTGGGCACATTGCAAAAAATGGTAAAAGGATGACAATTTCATTTTTTTTAATTCATTCGGTCGTGAAGTTTAATATAATGATTGTTATATGATACGAGATGAATATTAATTTCCATAATATTTTTTCTTTTACGACAGTATCCTTTGATTTGATTGACAAAACCATATATATAATTAATTATATAAATATCAATTAGCGTGGGTAGATGATATAAATGGTTGGAGGACATGGCTATATTTGCTAAACCATCTTCTTATATTGAATCATTATTATCCCTTTTTTGTGTTCTTGATTTAATCATTTTCAAAAAAATGTCTTTTTATGCGGGTTGAGAAAAAAAAAACTGATCATATTTAATAAATTTGTTTAAAAATCGATTGGAACAAATTTTAAATAAAATTAAATTTATGACCGAATATATAAGTAATCAAATTGTTATAAAACAAAATAAACTGATTTTTATTCTTTTAGTAAATAGTATTTTTTACATGAAAACTTAAGTCAAATAGAATTAGAAATGAATTAACATGTTAGTATAAACCAAAAATATATAATTTTTTTTTAAAAAAAAAGCTCGGATCCAAAATTTCATTTAAAATAAACATTGCAATTGTATGGAATTAAAAAAAAGGAGTAGAGAATTAATATATTTTAAACCATAATCTCCATTTCACCATATTCATTGAATTTTGGTACATTGAATAAAGTGACTCCAAAAGTATATATAGAATGCGGTTTTTGTTCTTCCATCATCTTACATTGTCTATCCAAATATAACTATCACATGGGCCAAATTGATTACTTTATTTATTACGTAAAAAGTTTCAATTCAATGAAATATTAATCAAGAATATTCATAACTAGAACTCACACCATTTGTATCTATATATACGTATATTATGTAAATCTTTTTTTTTTCATTTGTTCTTCGGTGTTCTTGATTGCCTTACCCTTTTAATCTGCACGATTTTAACGACTTTTAATTTTTATGGGGCCAATGTGTTATACTATAAAATTGTGGGGTGAAAAAAGAATAACAACTTTTCATCTTTCCCCGTACACGCGTTACTTGTCATTAACTTGCACGTGCAAATATTTATTAATAAATAATTAATACATTTGTTTTTGGGTGAAAGGCATCTTTACACACGGTTACATATATAATATATTGGCCAAATAATGTTCTGAACTCGGTTTAATTCCAATCAAACCGGTTCAGGTTAAACCGGTTAGGACCGGTTTGGGTATTTGTTTCATTGTTTGCGTGCTTCTCGGGGAAACGAAGCGGTTGTTATCAGGGGCCGCCGGAGAAACGACGGACGACGACGACGACGACGGTGGGCGGCCATGGGGATCGGAGAAGTAGAGGCGGCGAAGAATCGATGTAAGTCGGTGATAAGGAAGATAAAGAAGTTGCCGTCGACCACCGCCTCGTGCCACCGCACTCTCCTCAAGCTCGCCTGCTCCGAGCTCTCCTTCCTCGCCTCGCTCGCGAATGATCTCTCTCCACAGCCTCTCAGGTTCTTCACCTCTCTCTCCCTCTCTCTCTATCTCTGTATATCTCTCTCTGTGGCTCTGATTCGCCGGAATCTATAGCAGTGTCAACATCGGTCATCTTGAATCAGTCGTCCGCATCCTGCAATTGCCGTCGGTGACTGGCGTTTCGCGCGTCTGCAAGCCGCTTCCTCTAATTGGTGGTCGGGTTCATGTCGACATCGTCTGCACTCTCGCGAAAGCTCCAGTTTGGATCCTCGTGTCCGACAGAAATCCTAGGTACATCTCCTGGAGCGTGAGCCGCCATGGAGGCAGAGGTTTGAGGTTGAGAATCGAGAAGGTGCTCGCCGCAGCTCGGTCTGCAACCACGCTTAGACCTTCTTCGATAATCCTGTTCTTCGCAAATGGTTTGCCTGCTTTTGTTTACGATAAACTGAAACGTGAGTTTGGAGCTTTGGATTTCAACTTTGGCTTGGATTTATCTATGATTGATTTCGATTACGATGAAGAGTTAGAAGTAGGTTGGGTTAATGTGGTTCAAACCAGATCGTACGGAGAAGCAATAACAGTTGAGATCAAGCTTACGGATTCATGTGATTCACTTGCTTTTTCTCAACCAAGCTCTGTAATTCAACCAGAGGTCACAGAACTGAGCCAAAGAGATGCTTTTTCTTATGTCCTCTCCTCCATGAGATTGCATGGCCACGTCCAAAGTGAAGATTGCCGTGTGAATTTTGACACAACTGCTCTGGTTGCTCTTGTATCTGGAATCAGTAATGGTTGTGCAGAGAGAATCTTGAATACACCCCAGAGCGAATTGGAGATACGGTTCAAGGGAAATACCAAGTTTGTGATTGCTCAGGTGCCCATTATGCTCTTCCTCTTTTGAAGTGTAGATGATTACTTCTTTGTCTAATATCCACTGATCCGCTTGATTCATGTTTTCTTCTCAAGAGGTTGGAGTATAGGTTCATTAGGATTCTCTTACAACATGAATCCGTTATTTCGAGATGCTGACATTGTAGGACGCTGAACCAGGAATGAGTTTCAGGCGTTATAACATGAATCATTGTCTCTTCTTGCTGGTCAAATGAACACAAAGTGTCGTGAAATCATTAGTTAGGCTGAACCTGTTCTGTGTAAATCTTGTACGCAGGCGAGATCTGAACTTCAGGACTCAGTGCTTGCAGAAATGGGTGTTGTATTGGCAGGGAAGAGAGGAATGGTATGCCAAAGTGTTGTTTCAGAGTTCAAGGAGCTAGTATCCATGTACGGTGGACCCAACGAGAAATGCAGAGCCGAGCAGTTGTTGAAATGCCTCATGTAAGTCTTGACTATTTTCACTCATTCCCTTGCCTATTCACCATCAAGATGATCCGACATCTGCCACACTTATCATTCATACCCTTTATGCTGGATCTACTAGACTCATCTTCTAGGAGAACTAGGAATTCTTATGTTATTTCTTTCAGTCATTGATTGGTGACCCTGATGGTGATCATCTAAAAGAGATGGGTTTTTGAATGGTGACAGGGTAGTGAGTGACAATCCTTCAGAGCGCATGAAGGCACTCCCGACGACGAGGAAGCTGGCAATGAAGAACAAAATCGTTTTTGGGACAGGTGACAGCTGGCGTACAACGACATTGACTGCCAATGCGGCGTTTGCAAGAGCTGTGGCTCAGACAGGGATGTCTTTGCCCACCATTGACCACAGCCCTCGGGCCCTCACAGGTGATTAGCCAATGTCCCTTCAGACCATGGTCTTGTGCTCTCTAAGAACATGGTCCCTCCATAGTCCATAGTTCGGTTGGTTTTGGAATTAAAGTTTGTATAAAGTAGAAATGATACGGAAAGAAGAAACTCTGAATCTGCATCATGTTAGGAAAAAACACCTGTATCTTCTTTTATTTGGATAAAATTAAGGTTTACATTACAGAAATAGATTGGTACAAAGTATTTGGATGTGTTAGCGTTTGAGGAGGAGGAGGAGGATGAAACTTCGAAACCCGAATAGAAATCAGATAGACATACCGGAATTCTTGCGGCCGTTGGCTTTGAAATTGGCCCATTCCTCTATAAGTACCATTTCAAAATCTTATATCTGTTCTTATCTTCGGTTGCCCTTGATGTGGTTTGAAGCGTTTTGAGCCTGTAGATTGTCTTCAGACAATGAAGCATCGATCGGAGGAAGCTGATACTCGTCGGGTTTCAATGCCAAAGCGAAATCAGGGAGGGTGGGTGCTGTCTCCATGATTCTGTAATTCAGGCAACCGAAATGCAAAGCTCACAGATCAAAAGACATTGAGAGCTAAAAACATTATTGCAGGAAGTCAAAGAAAGTTGGAACCTTCTTTATTGAATCAAGATTCAAGACTCACTTTTCATAAGAGTAGAGGTCTCGGTTAATCCGGACTTTACTCGAAGTATCTTTCGGAATTTTCTCGGAGAGATACTTCATCGTGCCCCAGAGCGGCGGATTCCTGCAGGAAAGAAGAATGTATGAATGAATCTTCAGAAAAGGGGGAGTGAGGAGTGAGAATGATGATGAAACCTGGAAACGGGAGGGGAGGAGTGGAAAGAGGAACAAGACTTGAGGCTCTCAGAGAAATACTCATGGGCAGCCTGGAGTGCAGCCACTGCCATGCCGTGTGATTTCTCTGTGTTTCCTTCATCAAGAATCAGACCGTGATAGTAGTATGCCCCTGCCTGTTGTTTTTGTTGTTGTTAACAACAACACACACATGAATTATGAGAGAGAGAGAGAGAGAGAGAGAGAGAGATGTTGTATTCTTCTTCAGTACCTTTGCTTCAACATACTTCCATTTTACGAAGAGCCTATGCTTCTCGCCCCACCCATTTGCCAATGGAAGGTTCATCAAATTATCCTGTGCCTGACCAATACAAGAAGAAAGCATGTAACAAATATTTCATAACCCATGACAGAGCATTTTCTTCATCAAAAATACAAAAAAAAAGTGGAAATCTTTTAATTTCAATTATCCCCTTAGAACATTATTAATCTATGGTTTAACTTAGTTTCATTTTTAATTCCATTTTTTCCCTTGGGACAAGGAGACTTCTGGTCTCTCCTTTTTTATTGTACCAGTCCTTTTGTCCATAATATTCAACCCTAAATGACAACAACAAAACAAACTGGTGTAGAAAAAAGATACCTGCTGCCAGTATTTCACCATTTCACATGAAAGTCTTCGCTTCACAGCAAGAGTGGCCTTTGTGCTATCAATCGCCATTCCGAGTTGTATATCAACACCCTAAACCCGCAATTTGAAAGACGTTAAGCGTAACTATCATAAATCATCAAAAAGTGTATCAAGGTTTTACGCGATTAACAGAGCTTTATGGCAAGCATCTGCCCGGTTCTCGCCAAAATGTATGTTACTAATAAGATCTTATATCCTAGTCCCTAGATAATCACCGGTCTTCAAGGCAAGGAAAGGACTAGGCAAATTTGAACACTGCAAACACTCCAAAGTCTCAAGAATTACCCCTAACCTAGGGTGAGCCCTTAAGAATAGGACCATAAAGAAATAACTTTTTATAACAAATTAAGAATCTTGCAATCAATTACTTAAGTACTCGTAGCAAATCACTAGGAATACACAAGAACCATAGAAGGAGGCAATACCTGGCCTAGTGCTTGCAAGCAAAGAGCTCGTAGGACTCCTTCCGCTAGGTCAACTGGTAAGCTTCTCCTATAACGAAAAGCAAAAGAAAAACAATGGTCATTTCATTCGGTTTTGTTCAGAATTATAAAAGCATAGATTGGTCGCATCAGGAATTTTGACGTTGCTATAAACCTTAGCTCGGCAGGCAAATGAGGGAGAACATGTCTAACAGCACAGTCAAGGTATCCTGCTGCCTTTAAGAATATATCAATTGAAGCTCGCCTGTTTTCTATAATAAAAAGAAAGAAGGAAACTTACCCTTAGGCCAAAATCAGACAGAGTACTCAGCAATAAGAAAACAGTGAATCACGAGATGAAATATCTCAAGGACCCGTTATAGAGATCTAACCTTCTGATACTTTTGAATGGTAGCCATCGGTCGAACCTCTAGGAAGAAGAAGTAGATTGGCTTGTGATAATTGTAGCATTGCCATAAGATGCAAAACCGACAAAACTTCATACCAAACGTTTGACATGGCAGTCTCCTGGACCAATTAAATCATCTTGTCACACATTTAAATGTAAGATTTGATATCTGAAACTGAAAGTATATCAAAGCAGTACACTTGAAAATAAAATGCTTTTGATTACCGCACCTCTGCTTCATCCTCCTGATTTACCCAAACAAACTGTACTTTGAATTGCAGATGACTTCCTGAACATCAAGAATTGTGCTGCAGGTGAGAATAAATCTCCAAACCGAAGAAATTCCTTTCTCGGTAAAACATATTACCGTCTTTAGTTAATCCCAAGAGAACAGGTAGATAATCTTCCAAAGCATGATGGAGATCAGATAGTGTTGAGCCTCCTGAAAGACACAAGAGGCTTTAGACTGATACAAAGCCTCCTAAAAGCAAAGATAATGAAACATACCAACAAGCTCTTTTATACATACCATGTTGTGTTGCACTCTTCCTCCTAGTTCTTGTGATGGTGGGTCCTTCTTGATTAGCCATCACAACTATACGTGTTCTCAATGCCGTTAGGCGTTCTATAAAGGTCTTTGGCAATTGATCACCAAGTGATTGAGAAAAATCTACAGGCTTTGGTATCCTTAAACCGGGCACATATACCGAAACCTCACCGATGCTGGCTGGCTTTCTTCTGTTCCCACCAGTATCCTTTGGTGTTGATGCAAAGCATCCCATTTTACAGAGCTTAACAAATCTATAAATCCTGAGACACAATCTGAACTGAAGGAAATTAAAAAAAAAAAAACTTGACAACTTTCTCAAGATTTACCAGCTACCAAATTTCATAAATGTTCACATGAAATCTTGTGAAGCACAGCCTTGGAATATGATAGGGGATCAAAAGCTAGAAGAAGAGAGGATGAACACTTGCTATAAGAAAACCCAATTAATAAATGTCCAACCAAAAACTGATGAACTCCCTCCTTCCTCCACTAAATTCACAAGATAAAGTTGAACCACCTCACGAGCCACACTGCCATCATCACAATTTCTACGTAACTAGAACTCTCTACGAATTTTTCATACTAATCAATTCTTACACCAAAGTCCAAGCACAAACAAACAAGCAAATGACGTAACCAGATCGACCTGAGCCAAAAAAAAAACGAAAACAAGAAAAGAGATTGGTTTTTTTTCACCTTGAGCTTTATCAGATTATTGGCTGAAGGGCATATGATTCAAGTGACTTCTGCAAGGAAAAAGAATTAAATCAGCAAAAGAGCATGCGAGTCACGGAGAAAGCACGAACCTTTAAAGCTTTCTTTTTACATTTCTCTATTATAAAAATGATTTTGAAAACGAAAAATTTCCGCAAATATGGAGAAAATTCCATTAAAAGCGAGGATTTCCCCAAGGCCCAGAAGCAACTTGACATGAAAATAGAAGATCTTGAGTAAAGGGGCGCTGAGAATAATGCTAAATATAATTTAAAAATAGTTTTGGAAAGGATAAAAGAAAGAGATGTTCTATGAAGCCAAGGAAGCTCCATAACCGATTCGAACAAAAACCTCAATCCACGAAAAAGCAAAACCCCCAAGCAACATTTTCAACGGAAAACGATTACGAGACTGCCGAATTCGGGTTTATCAGATTTTCTGATTTCGAACTCGGGTTGACTCCGAATTGACAAACTACATAGCAGCAGAAACCCAAATCCCCATCATTGAATTCTTCTAAATTCTCCACGAATACGAATCCGACCGATTTCGAATCTGAAAGTTTCGAAAATCTTACCATCGCCAAAGTAGTAGCCAGCTCATCATGCTCTTTCCAAAGGAGATACGCGAAAATCGAAACGGCAGAGATGAATCCAGTTGAAATGTTCGCAGAATCGTAATGAGATTTTACTGGTTTCAAAGTTGCAGATAACGATTCGGGAGAAGATTTGGTTTGGGGGGGGGGGGAGAAGGGGAAGAAGATGAAGAATGAGAAGAGTAAAGATTCAACTTGGCGAGGAAAATAATGTTACGAGGGAATCTCTAAGTGCGTAGTAATGCTTTACTACGCCATAATTCTCCACACGCATTTACAAAAAAAAAATACGGTGAATATATATATATATATATATATATATATATATATAGGGATAAACTAAAAAAGTAAAAAACATGGTTTCTATTTTAAATCTATCATAAAAAGTTAGAAACATATCAATTAAAAACCATGAAAATCTAACTTGTCAACGAAAATATTCTATTTTAAATTTAGTATAAAAATCCTTAAAATTTCGTTTTAGATAAAATAAACTATTTTTTTTATTTTGCTTTAGTTTTTACATTATATAAGGGAGGAGCATATAATTATAAGAGATAATATAATGTTACGAGGGATTAAACATAATTCTCCACACGCATTAAAAACGTGAAATATATTTATATACCACCGTCAAAGTATTTTTTACATTTAATAAAAAAAGAAAAAGAAAAATGACAACAAATAAAAAAACAAATTGTTTGAAAATGGCTAAAAAATAATTTCGAAACTGAAATTATACCGAATGCTTTACTGCGTCATAATTATCCACACGCATTAAACATAATTTTTTTGTTCACAACAAAATTATAACGTGGTACCTTCAATTTATTTTTACATTTAATAAAAAAATAACAATGACGACAAAATAAAATTTTGATTCTTATACAAAGTTTTAAGGTTTATTTACTTTTTTAAATAAAAAACATTGCAAAAGAATTAAAAAAAAAAACAGATTATTTTGGAAGAACCACATTCCTCTTGGCCCTTAGAATTAACTAACTCAATATTTTTTAATACTAAAATTATGTACCATACATTATTTTTGGTACGAGAGTTGGAATAGTTTAATCACTAATTAAACATAGTTTTATCGATAATATGTCATGACCTAAATATTTTATTGTTAGTGATCTAAAGTGCCGCTCATTAACATGAATAATATTCGTTCCAACTAATGACCTAAAATATTCCAAATATGTAATATAAGCTAACATAATATATTATCAAATTTGATTTATTCACATTAGTTTTATAACTGTCCCGTTTTGATTTGGATTAACATCCCAATGAACAACACATATTCTATATGAATTTCGAATTTGAATAAATATCATATAATAAAAAAGACAATAATTAAATTTAATATTGTGAGGAGGGTATTGTCCAGCGCTACCTGTTCAACTAATTAAAGATGCGGCATCTCATCTGCATGGTTGGCTTCCAGAATGATTGTAAAGGAAACTCCTTGGCAATTGGCATCCATCTCCCCATAATAATAATAATAATAATAATAATAATAATAATAATAATAATAATAATAATAATAATAATAATAATAATAATAATAATAATAATAATAATAATAATAATAATAATAATAATAATAATAATAATAATAATAATAATAATAATAATTTAAACCAGTCTTTAAACCAAAATGAGTTGTAAAATTACAATTTTATAGGTGTGAAGCAAATTGAATTAACGAGGTTTCGGTGCTTGAAAACGTTTTGGCTTGACATCTACATATAATTTTGTGATTATATATGTGTACACAAATATATACATTTACATATAAATATAATTTTGTGGCATCTATATATATAATGTTTGTATATATATGTGCATGTTCTTGCCAATGGGTATGAATGTGTAAAATTAAAATATAAGTTATCTTTTATATTCCGGGAGGAAAAAAAAAGATACTGCTTTTTTAATAGGCAATAAAGATACTTGAAAATTGGAAAGAACCCTAATTTAAAATCAGAAAATTTGAATCCAAAACTCTGCAGTAAATGTCCGAATCATTACATCCAATGAAAACTCAACGTGGGTGCGCCCATTGTTCGTCCTCTTCTCCTTAATGCGATCTGTAAGTGCATTTCTCCATCTCTCACCTGAAATTTAATTTCTCGATGGATCCACGAGCTCCGCGTAATTATTTTCGGGGTTTTTTCCCCCGGATCTCCAGGTCTTTGCAGTCTCTTCGATGCGCTTTGGAGCATGGTTCTTGAGGATTTCTAGGGTTTTCGCTTGAAGCCGTGGTTAGATTTTCGCATCTGCTTCGTTATTCCGCAAGAGTAAGCGTGTGAGGGTTTGGTTTAGGGTTTTCTTTTTTGCTGTTTTGCTCGAGGAAAAATCTCTCTGTGTTTATTTCTGAAATGTGATTGGAATTTTCTTTGGTGGGTGCTGCTGTTTGTTGAATTTTTGGGGAGAAAGGTTCTTGCTTTAAGTTCAGAGAGGTTTGCGCATTAGTATCCATTTCGAAATAAACTTTTTTTTTTCGCTTCAGGATTGGTGGAACTGGTGGAATTTTCTTTCTAGTGCTTCTCCTGTATCTGTAACGGTCAAAAATGGCAGACCCGAGCTCTGTTGATGTGATTTTAGAGTTTCTTAGGAGAAATCGCTTCACTAAAGCAGAAGAAGCATTGCGTGCAGAGCTGAATAACAGGTCTGATTTGAACGGCTATATATATATATATATATATATAGGGATAAACTAAAAAAGTAAAAAACATGGTTTCTATTTTAAATCTATCATAAAAAGTTAGAAACATATCAATTAAAAACCATGAAAATCTAACTTGTCAACGAAAATATTCTATTTTAAATTTAGTATAAAAATCCTTAAAATTTCGTTTTAGATAAAATAAACTATTTTTTTTATTTTGCTTTAGTTTTTACATTATATAAGGGAGGAGCATATAATTATAAGAGATAATATAATGTTACGAGGGATTAAACATAATTCTCCACACGCATTAAAAACGTGAAATATATTTATATACCACCGTCAAAGTATTTTTTACATTTAATAAAAAAAGAAAAAGAAAAATGACAACAAATAAAAAAACAAATTGTTTGAAAATGGCTAAAAAATAATTTCGAAACTGAAATTATACCGAATGCTTTACTGCGTCATAATTATCCACACGCATTAAACATAATTTTTTTGTTCACAACAAAATTATAACGTGGTACCTTCAATTTATTTTTACATTTAATAAAAAAATAACAATGACGACAAAATAAAATTTTGATTCTTATACAAAGTTTTAAGGTTTATTTACTTTTTTAAATAAAAAACATTGCAAAAGAATTAAAAAAAAAAACAGATTATTTTGGAAGAACCACATTCCTCTTGGCCCTTAGAATTAACTAACTCAATATTTTTTAATACTAAAATTATGTACCATACATTATTTTTGGTACGAGAGTTGGAATAGTTTAATCACTAATTAAACATAGTTTTATCGATAATATGTCATGACCTAAATATTTTATTGTTAGTGATCTAAAGTGCCGCTCATTAACATGAATAATATTCGTTCCAACTAATGACCTAAAATATTCCAAATATGTAATATAAGCTAACATAATATATTATCAAATTTGATTTATTCACATTAGTTTTATAACTGTCCCGTTTTGATTTGGATTAACATCCCAATGAACAACACATATTCTATATGAATTTCGAATTTGAATAAATATCATATAATAAAAAAGACAATAATTAAATTTAATATTGTGAGGAGGGTATTGTCCAGCGCTACCTGTTCAACTAATTAAAGATGCGGCATCTCATCTGCATGGTTGGCTTCCAGAATGATTGTAAAGGAAACTCCTTGGCAATTGGCATCCATCTCCCCAAATGAATACAAAACCTTTTTATTATAATACATCCAAAATACCTTCTTTATCGTTTTATCTGTATTAATATCACAAACATAAATTTTTTTTTTATTATCAAAATGTATTATCTAAACACTAGTAATATAATTAAAAAAACATTAATATTATGATTTTATTTGACTCCTACAAACGTAATATTAATATGAATTTTCATTAATTGTATATAAATTCATTTACATAACTAAATTAATCTTAGTAAGATTGGCAAATAATCCTAATGCATATATATATATAACACACGTAAAAACCTGATAATACTAAATAAAACATATATTCACCTCATAAAATCTAAATAAATACTAAATCTGCATAAGAAAAAATATAGCAGATATGCATATATATGTATATATATGTATATCAACGTCGAGGAATATAATATAAATGCGGAATGGAATATTGTAGGAAGAGAGAGAAGGGTGTAATTGCGATATTTGGTCCGATTATTTGTATGTCATTAGCTGTCCTTATCGTATGGAAAGATTTGATGCGTATTTACTACTACGATCTCCGCTCTTTAGCCTTGCATTAGAGTATATATATTCTTCCCCACGTTATAATATTATTGTATCATATCTTTTTTTTAAATAAAAGGTATATTCGTAGACTTTATAACAGCTTTATACTACACTGGAACAATATATATCTCTCTCTATATATATATATAAAGTGATATTTAGTTCGAGAAATTTGCACTACCCCATATCAGATAATATATATATATATATATATATATATATATATATATATATATATATATATGAACAGTATAATGCAAATGAGTATCTATCCATGACCCATGAATAATAATTTAATTGCCAATCAAATCAAATCAAATCGAAGTACTTCTTCTAAAAACATTTAATAAGCAAATGATATGCGAAAACGAACAGAACATCGCTTTCGAAAAAAATAATATGGAGCGTCGATCAATTATTAGGGTTGGGCTCTATTTAATGAGATCTCATGGGTTTTTGGATTAAATATCTTAGATCCGTTTCTCCCAACTTCGACATCCGAATTTTAAAGATTTAAATAAATTCAAACTTTTATTACCGGTCTAAACTTTTATTTTATTTTTAAAAAATATCGTTGTCGACGAAAGGGGAATTTTACTCAAATGACCCACTTGGGTCGCATCTATTTCACGTGTACACCAGAAAAAACATAACACTTTTTTTTTGAAAAGACGAAATTACCCTTAATGAATACACGATTTTTATCCGTTCGAAAACAACTTCGTTATTACGACTTCGTAATTGATTCTAAATATAGTTACAATTGATTCTAAAAAAGGTGACAAAAAAATCATGTGTCTTATT